AAGGAAGGAAGGAAGGAAGGAAGGAAGGAAGGAAGGAAGGAAGGAAGGAAGGAATAGAACAGAATAGAATTAACTAAATAATCTACCTTTGGCCCTGTCTGGCCTAAGTCAACAGGATGTGCTACATTCCTTAACAAACACCTGTTATCTGTAGGAGAAATGCGACCCAAAAGTCTCCTTCCTGCTCCCAGGATCACAAATTAGCCTGAAGAGGGGAATTTTGTGACTTTCATACAGACTAGATTCCAGGACTCAAAGAGACAAAGTTAAAAGCTAAGTCATCTAACCATAAAATCTGTAAGAACAAGTTCCAATTAGAACTAGTCAGCATGGGAAAAAATGATCCAGAGTTGCCTTGTATCTTTAGCAAGTCATAATAGTAAATTCTCCCCTCCAATGGGTAAAACCACGCACAGTGGGCACTTGAAAGTCTGATGCAATCTAGCTGTCAGTCAAAAATCAAGAAGTGGACCTGGAATCTTTCCTGGGACCCTCAACATAACAGGATGGCAAAAGGAGCCCACCATCTCTTTCCTCTCCCTTAGGAGTGTCTCCTTTCCCCTCTTTCCTATCCCTTCTATTAAACTCATGCCTGCTACTTTGTGTGACTTGTCTGAAATCTTTCCAACATGATTGCAAGAACCAGTGACTGAGGACATCTGCAGTCAATTGATGTCCATGTATGATCTTGCTCTGTAACAGTGGTAAGTGCCTGTAATCTTAACAACTCCACAGGTTGAGGTAGGAGGATCACAAGTTGAAAATCAGCCTGGGGAACTTAGTAATACCTTATTTTTAAAATTTGTTTTTTCTTTACTTAAAAAATGGGCCAGGGTTATCACTCAGTGGTAGTGTACTTGTCCAGCATGCATAAAGCCCTAGATACATTCCCCAGTACCACAAAACAAAATTATTAAAAAAAAAAAAAAAGTATTGAGAACTTCAAAAAGCTGGTTTAGGAACAGAAACTGAAACTGAAAAATTTTAAACATTTACAAAATGATTTTAAAACAATAATAAATTACTACATAGTAATAACATTTTATGAAAGAACTATTTCCCAAACTTCTAAATATAAGCATTTTTGTTTCTACATGAAAATAAAATTTTATATTATGAGCATCAAGGAAAAGGGATGTTTCAAGAAGAAATGCCATATTTATTCTCAAGTGAAAGGAATGAAGTTAAGGATGTACTAGACACCAATTTGAGAAGCACAGGGTCTAGGAAAACAAAACAACAAAGCAGAGCAGGGAAAATGTTCTCCTTTGACATCTATCAAGATTCATTGGTTCTCACCCAGAAGAATTCAATGGTCTGGAATCATCAATGGTCTCTTAGTTAAAACATGAAAATTTGCCTTTTACTCAGAGTTCTTTAACCAACTAGACTGACTCTTTGGTTGGATATATTTGGTATGATATCTGTTAATTAAAAATTAGAGGGCTGGGGATGTGGCTCAAGCGGTAGCGCGCTCGCCTGGCATGCGTGCGGCCCAGGTTCAATCCTCAGCACCACGTACAAACAAAGATGTTGTGTCCGCCGAGAACTAGAAAATAAATATTAAAAATTCATTCATTCTCTCTCTCTCTCTCTCTCTCTCTCTCTCTCTCTCTCTCTCTCTCTCTCTCTCTCTCTCTCTCTCTCTCTCTCTCCTCTCTCACTCTCTCTTTAAAAAAAAAAAAATTAGACCGGGTTATTTTAAATTAGCCCAATCTGAATCTAATCCATAATGTCTTTGGAGACTCTGGAGAAAAATGTCCTATAGATAAAAGATTAAAGATTTGGTTTTTTTGTCATCTATAGTCTCAGACCAGGTTTTAGTCTATTAGTATCTGGGGTTTTATTTTCTACTAGATATTATTAAGAACTACTACAATTTTCACCTTATAGAATATACCTGGCAACTAGGCTTCCATTTTTATTTTTTTTTTTACCTTGTAGAAGCAAGAAGCATAGAACTCTACATAAAAAGGCAAAAGATAATGAAAGACTGGTTTCTCTTGTTTTTTTTTTTTTTAAATAGTCAGTTCAAAACTATGTGTCTGCCAAGTAAAGGGATATATGCTGATCTTACATGCATGGATTCTCCCTGCACAGCATTTGAAGGCAAATTCCTACTCCTATATACTTTACCTGAAACTAAAAGTATGCTCTACAGTTGGTGTTACCTCATATGACATTATAGTCTTATCACACACATGATTATAAAATTGACTGATTAGATTCTCTATAGGTGGGGGTCATAAATATGTATTCATAGGAAACTTAGTGGTGCTAATGTAGTCAATCAGACACACTTTTAAGTCTAACCAGCATTGCTCATCACTGATTTGAGAGACTTATATTCATAGCATGGATGTCCGAACTTAAATGCTTTTTTCTTTAAAAAACAAAAAACCTAAAATACTTAAACACAATTTTCATGTTTTTATGTATGACTTAAAAATAAATTTAGTTTTAAAAAATAGGTCAAAAACATAACTGACAACCACTATGCTCCTTTTGGTTTCTTTATTTTTAAAAAAATATTTTTTTAGTTGTTGATGGACTTTATTTTCTTTATTTCTTATGTGGTGCTAAGGATCAAACCCAGTGCCTCATGCATGCTAGACAAGCACACTACCACTGAGCCACAACTCCAGCCCCAAGCCACAACCTCAGCCCCTTTTTTTGGTTTCTTTACCTAGTTAAGTCAAATTGATTTTCACCACCTGGGCAACTGCTGTTGTTTCTGGCTTCAAAATGGTTCTCTGGCTTTCAAATGGTTCTCTATCACATTGTTCCCTTCCCTAAGATCACTCTTGCTCTCAGCACCATCATTTTACTTTTATAGTCCTCCTTAAAGATCCCTTGCCCCCATCTTCAGCCTCCACCTCCTCCACTTATCCCACACCCTGGGATAAATCCTACTCATCACAATCTGCAATTGTGTTATTTGTCTTTTGCTTACCATCAGTCTCTCACCACCAGACTGTGTCTTTCTTTTAATCATGAAAATACTTGGTACAGGGCAGGCTATGTTACTTGGTAATTACTTGGTACAGGGATTTTGAGGGATAAGCAATAGACACCAAACCCAGGTAACTTAGCAGATAGGTACCTGGTCAGAAGAAATTGGAAGGAACAGAGAAGCACACTAGAGAACCAATCTACTGTTTTTGGCACTGGTTATTTACACTGCTGACACCATCAAAACGTAATCTGGTGATAAAAAAAAAAATGATGCCACCTCTGGAAAGCAGATGTTGGCACTCATTGTTTCTGCTGTCACAACTCCTCAAGGGGCAGGAAGAGGCTGGAAATTTAGTCTTTTACATCGTCATTTCTGATTCAAACTTGATCTGTTTGCCAGAGTTTAGGCCATGGGCCTGCAGCCCCCTCAAGGAGGTTAGGAAAAAAGCAAGTATCTTACATTTTCAGCTTCTGCTGTGCTAGATGAACTTGGCCTCATACAGAGGAGCTCCAATACAGAAGAGGGTTCAGCTGTTAGGTAGCCAAAATAAAGGATAAATGGCTCCACTTATAGAGGCTCTCAAATATCTCTTGAATGAATAAGTCCTAAAATATATTTTAAAAAAATACTATTAGAACAAGTTTAAAATAAGTACTTGTAACTACAAAATTTCTAGTATTTAACTGCTATCAATTACTATTTATTCTAATTCTGATTCTGATTTCCTCCTTCCAGACTTGAATTAAAAAAAAAAAAAAAACAATCTGTGCTTCCAAGCAGCTTGAATTTCATTAACCATGATGTCACAGACAAATGTGAGGGACTTTCCAGATTCCCCTTAGATGAAAGACTAGTTGCTCAGCTGCTAGGAGAGTGGGCATTGTATAGCCATCACCTGACAGATATTAATAGAATGGCTCCAGGCGCCTTCCCTAGGCACCTTCCATCCTATGACTGATCAACATGGGAACCTGAAATTTTGATCCCGTTGCCTCAACTCCAGACTACCCTATAAAGCCAATCAGGCTCTGGAATTCCGCACGGTCCAGTCCAGGCTGGCAGACATCCTTCATGCAGCTTAACTTCTCCTCTACGCACCCCTGCACTGGTCCTTTGCCTTCCACAGGTGGTGACCTCAAGGATACTCCTTAATAAACACTCTGCACTAAATTCCCTTTCAGCTTCTACATCCTGGAGAACCACCCTGGGACTGTTCTACCAGCAGTGATCAAAGAAAGTAAGTATTCAGAATGGGCTTTGGAACTGAAGGAAATGTGCTACTAGTCTAGAATGAAGATTTTATGAGGCATTCTCATTTTGTATATGTAGTTGATATATAAAATCATTAAGGTAAAGATAATTAGGTTCAACTAACAAACTGTTAAAATGAGATCATATGGAAGCTGCCATGTTCTACTTGGAGAGGATAAATTATTACCAGCACAAGATGAACAAAACAAAGTGATTACCAGGAGATTTTATTTTCTCCCTCAAGCTAAATAGTTTTTCAACATAAATAAAAATGCCAAGGATGGCTTGTGAAACCACTTAGTGTTTGGTGCTTTTAAATTTTTGCTTTATAAACATAAACCAAACAGTAAACATAAACCAAACAATTAAATTTGAACATAATACATAACTAAGCCATAAACACTCAAGGGTCATAATTTGTACTCTTTGCCCCATTTATTTAATAAAATATAAAGAAAGTGATAGAACATTAAATATTTCCAACCGAAATTAAGTAGAAACTTCACCTAAAACCTTTTTTCTAGATTTAATTGTAAATGTCACTACATAGGACCAGGGTTATAGAATTCTTTTAATTACATTACATTCTACCTTTTTTTTTTCCAGTACCCTTTCTCTGCCAAAATTCCCAATTTTAAATAAGTAGAATATAACACTAAGGTTACCTCATAGCTATGGTGTCTATAATTATCATTTTCAGAAAATAGGGAGGAAAATGGAATTGAGAAATAGCTTGCCTCCAAGGAACAGTTTAGATTGAAAAGCACTACACCAACAAAAGCAGAAATCTTGCACTCTAACTTCCTATTAACAGATTCTAGATTGTAGCCTGAAGAAAAATAAGAACCTCAGCACCCTGTGCTGAAAAACTATTTAGCTTAGAAAATAAGTTAAATCCTCTTCATGCAGAAGCAGATTTCTTAGTGGGACTTGAAGTTGGTGACAGGAAGTTACCCAGTTATTAAGAAATATCCAACTATGGAAATAATGTGGAACTCCAAAAATAGTAACAGTTCTATTATTGCCATGGTATGGAAATAAATTATATTGTTTTGCTCTGTTACTAAATTTGGTTAATTATCCATGAAAAAAAAAAAAGATATTTCTGGCAACCACCAAACCAAAATTATAGCTAACACTTCTGGAGTTAGAAGATAAGAGATTTCTACAAAAGGAAAAAAGTCCTTCTTAATTCTAATTCAAATGCTACATTTTACTGACTCAAAGGAATATGGTCTAACAACCATATTGAAACTCTGGTTTCAAAGCCAATGAGATAACGTATTTTTTTGGCTAAACAGACAACCTGATATGAGGCACAATGGCAACATTCAAAATGCTAGAATAGGGACAAGAAGAAGAAATTCATAAAGTACTCGATATGGAGCTTGCATGAAAATCACTGTACTGGGGGGATTTACTTAGAAAAATGAAGCCAAATCAAAAATTTACAGCACAATTGTACTATTATGAACCACAAAGATACAGAGATTTTTAAAAAGGTCCAATTATATGCTTTGTACACAAGATGCACTTTAAATAAGTTGAAAGTAAAACAAAAAGATATATCATTCACATAGTAACCATAAGAAAGCTAAACTGGCTATATTAAGGCCAGGCAAAATAGACTTTAAAACAAAATATTACTAGTGATGAAAAGGAACATTTAATAATAGTAAAAGAACCAAGCCATCAGGATGATTTAGCAATTACAAATATATATGTTCCCAAAAAAGAGCCACAACATATATGAAGAAAAAAAAACGACAAAATTGGAGAAATGGGTAACTAAAATATTATAATTAGAACTTCCATACCCCACTTTCAGTAATGGTTAGGGTAAGCGGGAGATCAACAAAGAAATAGAGGACTTGAACAACACTGATAACGAATAGAGCCTAACATGTCTGTATAACACTCCAGCCAACAGCAGCAGCATCTATATCCTTTTCAGGTGCACATGGAGAGATACTGAAGAATAGGACCAATCTAGCCCATAATAGAAGCCTGAAAATTTAAAATCACTGAAATCATACAGAGTATATTGAAATTAGAAACCAATAACAGAAGGAAGTTTAGAAAATCCACGAGTATTTGAAAAATAACATGTTCTTAAATGGTCAATCAAGACAAAATAAAGGAAATTAGAAAAACCTTTTAGATGAACGAAAATGAAAACAACAAAATTTATGTGATGCAGCTAAAGTAGTGCTTACACAAAAATTTATAGCTATAATGCCCTTATTAAATAAGATCTCAAATCAATAAACGAAACTTCCACATTACTTCACCAGAAAAAATAAGTAACTAAACCAAAGCAAGCAGGAAAAAAATATATATTTGAATGGAAATTAGTGAGATTAACAGAAATAGAGGAAGAATCAGAGAAAAGAACCAAAACTTGTTTCTTTGAAAAGAATAATAAAATTGTCAAACCTGCAGCTAGACTGAACAGGGAAAAAAAGAAGACTCACATTACTAAAATGATGAAAGAGAAATTATCACTATTCACCATACAAAAATAGGAAGGGTTAGAAGAAAATACTAAGAACAACTGCATGCCAAGAAAACTAGATAACTTGGATAAAATGAAAAAATTCCAAGAAGGTCACAACCTACTTCTTGGGCTGGGGTTATGGCTCAGTGGTAGAGTGCCTGCCTAGCACTAGTGAGGCACTGGGTTGGATCCCCAGAACCATTTAAAAAAAAAAAAAACTAAATAAACAAAACAACTTACTTCTTCATGAAACTGGTTTGAGAAGAAATAGAAAATTTGAGCAAGGAATATTTTCTAATTCATTCTAACAGGCCAATATTGGTAAAATGCCCCCGAGTTCAATCTTTAGTACCAAAAAAAAAAAAGGAAAAAGAAAAAGAAAGAAAGCACACACACACACACACACACTCTGATAAAATCAGGCAGGGACATCACAAAAACAAACAACAACAAAACAATCACAGACCAATACTTCTTATTAATATACATGCAAAAATCCTTGACAAAATGGGATGAAAATAGTAAGACAACACACTTATTAAAACTGGATCAAAAAAAACTAACAACATATAAAAAGGCTTATTCATGATGATCAAGTGAGATATATCCTAGGAATACAGGAACAACTCAACTTTTAAAAATCAATTCATGAAATAAACCATATCAATAGAATAAACTGCAAAACCCACCCAACTGTCTACATAACAAACATTTGTTTAAAAAGAAGAAACATTAGGGCTGTGGCTGTGCTCAGTGGTAGTGCACTTGCCTGGCATGTGTAAGGCATTGTGTTTGATTCTCAACACCACTTATAAATAAATTTAAAAAAACAAAAGTCTATCAACAACTAAATATATATATATTTTAAAAAAAAAGAAGAAGAAGAAGAAGAAGAAGAAGAAGAAGAAGAAGAAGAAGAAGAAGAAGAAGAAGAAGAAGAAAATCCAATGCCCTTGGGCTAGAGTTATGGTTCAGGGGTAGAGCACTTGCCTAGCAGTGAGTTCCATTCTCAGCACAACATAATTAATAAATTAATAAATAAATAAATAAATAAATAAATAAATAAATAAATAAATAAAGCAAAGATATTGTGTCCATTTACAACTAGAATTTTTTTTTAAATCCAATGTCCTTTCATGATTAAAAGAAAAAAAAACCTCAACTAACTAGGAATAAAAGTGAACTTAATCTGAAAAGGGGCCTTAATCATACTTAATGGTAAAAGATAGAAGGCATCCCCCTAAGAAAAGGAAAGAAAGACAAGGTCCACTTTTACCACTTGCATGCAACAATGTACTAGAAGCTCTACTCAGGGTAATTAAACAAGAAAATGAAATAAAAGCCATCTAGACTGGATGCAAAGAGAAGTAAAATTATTCTTACTTGCAGATGACATGATTTTATATATCAAAAATCCTAAGGAAATACACTAAAATCCATTGTATCTAATATACTAGTTTAACAAAGTTGTAGCATACAAGATTAGTACACAAAAATTAACTGTACTTCTCTAAGCTTGAAATGAATAGTCCAAAGATTAAATAAATAAAAAGACTGCATTTACAATAGCATCAAATAGAGTAAAATACTTCAGAGTAAATTTAATAAAATAACTTAAAACTTACAGAATAAAAACTACAATGCACTATAGAAAAACATTAAAGAGACCTAAATGAATGGAAAGTCATCCCATATTTATGGATTGGATAGCTTAATATTATATGATAATACTTTTCAAAATTGATCTTATATCAAAATACCAGCTCCCTACCACCATCTTTTTTATTATTTTTCAGAAATTGGCAAGGCTGTCCTAAAATTTGTATGGGAACACAAAACCCAGAACAGACAAAACTACCTTGATAAAGAACAAAATTGGGGGTAGTCACATCTCCCAATTTCAAAACATACTACAAGACTACAGTAATAAGGTAATAAGGATAACATAGTCTTGGTGTATACACAGTCACATAGATCAATAGAATAAAACTTATGGTACATAAATAAAAATTCACATTTATGGCCAATTGACATTTTTTTTTCAAAAGTGCCAAGTTGATTAAATGAGGGGAAAATAGTTTTTTCAAAAAACAACACTGGAATACCTGCAGAAAAATGAAGTTGGATCCCTTTCTCATACCATACCCAAAAGTTAACTCTGAATAGATCACAGACCTAGATATAAGATATAAAACTCTTAAAAGAAAATTTAAGGGTAAAAAAGCCAAAGGTTGAATGTCTCCTCGAATATGTGGAAACTAACCCACAATAGTGGGGGAGGAAGGGAAGGGAAGAAAAGGACTTTAGTAGATTAGATAATGGGGAATGGAGGGCGGATAGGAAAAGGAAAGACAGTGAAATGAATGTGACATTATTTTCCAATGAACACGTGAAAAAAAGCATAGTACATCCACAAGAATGGAATCCTAACTAGAATAAGATATATTCCATGCTTGTATGATTATATCAAAATGGATTTTACTGTCATG